TAGTTGATCTATATATATATATATATATTTTTTAATTCGTTAAAAAATTTTATTTTTAGTCCTTAAATAAATTTTATACCTCTTGAATAAATTTTTTACATCAAAAAAATTAAAAGCTAAAGACTAAAATATTAACAAGGAAAAAAGTCCAAACATCAAAAATGAAAATCGAAAAAAGTTATTAACCAAAATTTATTCAAAAACTAACAATAAAAATAAACCAAAATTCATATAAAGAAAACATATTTAATCTTTAAAAAAATGAAAAAGACTTATTAATACCTCCTTATATATTAAAGGGGTGAATTTCATATTTTATCTTTTATGCAAAAAAAAAATTAGCCTTTTATTTAATTTTTATTTTATTATATTTATTTATAAATTAAATTTTAATATTTTAAAAATAAATTATCAAAAAAAATTATGTATCATAATATAAATTATTTATTTTAAATTTAAAATATAATTTATGTTTAAAAATAATTTTTTTGAACAGTGCATGCCAGACCGTTTTATATTATTGTATTGTTTAATTTTAAAAAAATATTTATGTTTGCTTCTTTTTTTACAATTACTTATGTTTAGGAGTAGGTATACAGATCGGTCCGGCCCGTTTAAGGCTCAGCCCTTAAAACCTGCATTTTATACAGATTGGATAAGTCTAGTCCGTAAAATAAATTGATTTATTTTTAAAGTCCGTATTCGGCCGCCAAAACCCGCGGATAACGGCGATCTGCAAGTCTAAATAATAGTTTAAAAAAATAATTTAAAAAAATAATAAAATTACATAAAATTAGAAGAAAAAAAAATCTTTTTTATTTATAAGTTAAATTTTATCACACTAAAATTTATCAACCTTTAAAATGGTTTAAAATACTAAATATTAAAATGTTAAAGTAAAAATAATTACAAAAACTTATATAATAGTACCAAATTTTCAATAATAAAAGCATCAAAATGTCATAAAAATAATTTAAATGAAAAATACATACCAACTAAATATAGTTTTAATGTCATAATAATTAAAAAGATTAAATACACAACTTAATATTAAAGTCTTGATATTTAAAAATATTAATTAGTGAAGTCCGTGGACTAGCTCGCGAGTGGACTAGCTCGCGAGCCCGCAGATTAAATTTGCCAAATCCGCAGACTTCATGGACCGGACTCAAAAATTAAACATAATCATACAGATTTGGCTGATGATATATACACCTCCATTTTTTTATACATACACCCCCTTTTAAAAAAAATATTAAATTCTTAAATTATCCTTAATATTATTTGAAATAAAAAAAAATTATCCTGAAATTTTTTTTCGGAGGTGTATTTGTACATAATTATGGAAAGTTCTTTCCAGAATACTAAAATTACTATTCCGGAAATAACTTTCCGTCGGAATAATTCTGGAAAGTACTTTCCGTAACACTAAAATTACTATTGCGGAAAGTTCTTTCCGGAATTATGGTAACAAATACACACACGGTTAATATTCCGGAAATAATTTTTCGCAATAGTAATTCTAGTGTTACAGAAAGTATTTTCCATAATTATTTTGACGGAAAGTTATTTTCAGAATAGTAATTTTAGTATTCTGGAAAGTACTTTCCGTAATTATTTTGACGAAAAGTTCTTTTCGGAAGGCTCATAATATATACACCTCCTGTTTTTTTATAAGTACACCTTCTTTATTTTTTTAAAAAAATTATAAAATATTATTTATATATATATTTTTTAATTTTATACCTTTAACTTTCAATTTTCTACTTTTTTCTTTTTTTTTCTCTTTCAATTTTTAAATGCTATCAAAATAGGTGGAGTGAAGGAAAGATAACGGGGTGCATGTAAAAATTGAAAAAAGAAAAAAAGAAGAAAAAAGAAAGATCTGTAAAAAAAATTACTAAATTAAATGTTGTAAATGTAAAATTAAAAAAAAAAAGCAAAAAATTAAGAATATTTTAAAATTT